TGTAGGACTCTGGGTTGGGGTTGAAGGGAGCCTGGCCCTGGCGCTTGATGGTCTCGAGCCAGTAGCCGGAGGCACCGCCTGGTGCTGCCGGTGCCGGTGCCGGTGCTGCTGACGGAGCTGGTGCTGCTGATGGGGCTGGGACTGGTGCGTATGAAGCAGTAGGTGCTTGCGCAACGGGCACAGCAGTAGAAGGAGTGGCGGAAAGGAGGACGCGCAGCGTCAAAAGAAGCGCTCCAGCGCTAAAGGCAACCATAATGGCAGTGCGTTTGTTGAAGTTCGGAGTTGCTAGTTGGAAAAGTCTCGACTTGAAAGACTGGAAGTATCGTTGTCAGTTGACCGGCAAAGGACGTTGATAGTGTTGTTGGATAGTCGAGTAGAAAGATTGCAAGTTTGCAGAAGTGGTGGTAAGGTTGGCTAGCAACGAAGGAAGAAGAAAGTAGTAATGTTGTTGTGAGAAGATGACTCTACACAATAGAAATGAATGACAGAGAACAATAAGAACTGACGGCACACAATGAGTGCTGGTAGCTGACAATCGCCTGCGTGAAGGGAAAAAGTGAATGGGGGTGCCGCCGCATAGTATATGTACAGCAGTTCATTCAGGAAGGGGACTTACAATAGGATCGGGGCGCCAATCAACGTTGTCGAAACGCCTTGTTTCAAGTTTCGGGTAGCCGGGGTGTGATGTTCGCTGTGCTGTGCTCGATTCATGTTCCCCGGCATTCAGTAGGCATTTTATATCCTCGTCGTCGCTGTGATACCCACGCTCTTTTGCCATCTCTTCATCGTGGGCGTTCATCCTCCCCGATTCACAAAGCAGTCCCTCTTCCTCCCTTGCCTCCTGACGACCGCTTGCGGCCATGTTCTGAAGCCGCATTCCACGCCCGCAGACAAGTGCCGGCTCGTGGTTGCGTGCCTGTGACCCTGCCGCCGTCGCGTGCGTCCAAAATTACCTAGGGTCTCCACTAGCCAGGCCCACAAGACTGTACCCGTTGTATCCCTTTCTCCGCGTGAAACAAGCGGGAGACGATGGCCAGTGAGTGGATGGGGAGGGTAGAAGGCGGCGAGGCGAGCGTTTGTTCCTGAAGGGAAATCAGGGATGTGGTTGGTAGCGCCACAACCGATGCCCGCATGTGAGACGGCGCTGAAACGCCAGGCCATCGACAGGCCCTCGCTCGCCCGCCGCGCAGACAAAGCATTTGCCAGCGCGTCAACGCCACGCGCGACTTTCTCTGCAATTCGACGCGACGGCCCGGCAGGAGATCGTGGATACACTGCGATGCGCCGGGCTCCATCCAAGAGGCGCTTGAGAGTCATGCCAAGGTGTGGTGGACGGCATTGTACTCGACCACGACGTCGCTGTTCGCCTCGGCACGCGCACCTGGGCATCATGGGCATCATGGACATGTTGCCTCCACATGCCGATAACACACAGACATATAGTCAGAAAGTGTCATTCATGAGCGTTGTGCGCAACATAGCACGAGCCTTGCGGACAAAAAAGCTCGAACCGAACACCACCCCGATCGCTATCCTGGACGTGATGGGTTCCGAAAGTTTCTTTTGCACCAGTGCAAGACATCAACCACGGGGTTACCACGCTATGCTGTGCTCCATCGCCGCCTAAGGATGCATACCCAACGGTCACTGTGTTTCGCGCCGCCACCGGATATACTGCTTTTCATTTCCTTCAGGATGTTTTTGTGGGGCCCGGGGACGTTTCGACGAAACCCCATCCGTCTTTCTAGAGCAAGCCCGCGGCTGGCCTCGCAGATCCCTCATGCTTAACGCAACCTCTATTACCGCATTTCGACGAATAGCATTGTGCAAGACCATGATCATGTGACATAGTCCCTACAGTCGTGGAAGTTTCTGCGTGATTTCCGTGTGATCTAGATTGTGGCTGATAGGATGGCGATTCACCTCGAAGCAGCGGTCTTCCATCCCATTCGCCATTCCTTCCCTCCGCTCAATCACCACAGACCCTTCGCGTCTTCTTCTTGAGCAGCCGCCCTCTTCGTTGCCTGTCCACCATTGGCCTCTTCCTTTAACATGCGGTTAATGACTGTGGCGAGTCTTTCAATGCCCTCGGCAAGCATATCTTCTTCTTCCCACTAGCAGTGGATTAGTATCGGTTCGGAGACCCAAACTGGAAGTATATACTGACCGCAAAACAAACCCTGATGTCGTTGCTGAATGACGTGCCTTCATGGCCGGTGTCGCCGGGTACCTGCGTCTGTCAGTTGGGCGTACATGGCTGCGGAGCAGCATACTCACTTCGAACATCTCGCCCTACACAAGCGTCGTGGTTAGCTTTACCCATGATCTGGACTCGGGACTCGAGAGACGTAATCGTGGCTTGTACTCACCTGTGCGACGGCTAGGTTCTCTTCTTCCTTTACGCGCTGTGCTACCACTGCGCCTTTTAGCGGGGATGGCAATTTCAGCCAGATGAAGTAGCCGCCGACGACCTCGCGATCGGTTTGGGGGATTTCGACGCCTAGTGGAATGAGGTGTTTGTTGATGGCTTCCACCATTCGACGGTACCGGTTACCGTAGGTTGGTTGGAGTCGGTCGTACACGTAGCGTTGGAGCTCTCCTGTTTCCAGTGTCTCGGCCACAAAGCAGGCTGTCAGCTGGCTGGGTGCGCCGCCCGAACGGCTGGATCCTCTGGAACACGTTAGCTGTCATGCCGGATGGAGCGAGACATCGTTGTGACACCACAACCTCAGATCGATCTGAGCGTAATAGTTTCGATCTCAGGTATCCCAAATGCGGCATGATTAGTAGCGCATGGCGACAGAGACAAATGACGAGATCTTGACAAGATATGCTTACGTTTGCGAAACACCATACGCCATCTTGGGCGTCCCTTCACACCAACCCGTACGCAAGCCAGGGCCGAAGATCTTGGAAAACGATCCATTCGAGACTGCATTGCCGAAGCCATCTGCGCCATGTCTTTCGGCGCCGCCGTCCAGATACCTGTCGATGTCGACAATCCGGGGCAAACCGGCTTTCTCGATGGACAGCGTACTAGGACTGAGACTTGACGGCCATTGCAGGAAATCATATACGTCGTCTGTAATGATAAGGGCATCGTACTCTCGTGCCAAACGTACCAACTCCTCTCTGCGCTTTAGACTCATAGTTTTGGAACTAGGGTTGGAGAAGCCTGGAACCGCGTAGATGACATGTTTGTAGATCTTATTCGAAGGCCTTGGAGGTTTGAATTGCTGGCAATGTTAGTAACCATACGGCGGTGTATACCCCGACATGCAATTGCAATGGATTTTCAAGAGACAAGATCATGGTAGACTTAAGAAGGTCTCAGACCGTCCAAGTACTAACAGCGACTCACCGGCTCATCATTACTCTCAGATCTCGCCCTCTCTTCACTCAGCTTAATCTGACTCCTCAGATACGCCATATCAATCCCCTCCTCATCCTCAGGCACGGCCCTCAGCTTTTTGTGGAACCCGGCATCCTCGAATATGCGGAAAGCAAGCATATACGCCGGAGCAACGATCCACACATTCCGCGTATACACTGGATCTGTAAAGTCCTGAAGCAGGCAAGCTAGATTCTGCGAAGCCCCACCAGAGATGCATATGCGGTCTTCGGATACCGGGTCCGCGGGCTTATAGAACGTCGTGAGCCATTGCGCAATATTGTTCTTCAGCCGCGGGTCACCCGAGTCGGGTCCATAGCACATGGCTGGGTACGCAATGGGTTTCTTCTGAAGGACATTATGGGCTGCTTTGTCGAGCAGTTGCGTTGGAAGTAAAGACACGTTTGGCCATCTGGTGCTGTTAGCGATTACTCTATTGGCCGCGTCATGTCCCAAAAGGACAGCGGGTTTGCATGAAGGGCAGGGGCACGTGCCCTCTCAGCAAATTGATCAGCTTCTTGGAGCTAGTCTTGGAGCCGACGACGTCCGGTAGGGCGAACGTCTTGAGTATCTGGTCCGCGATAGTTTGGCCGCCGCCCATATTGGATTCAGTATTGGATGCTGATGAAGCCGTGGCGGCGTCGGAACACGGCTGCGTACCGAAGTGGCTGGTGCGCAGTTATGGGGCGGAGTGGACTCAGGCCAGCAGTAATAACGTGAGCGTGCCGCGATTATATCAGATGCGAAGTTCGGAGAAGGGTCTGTTGGCAGCAATTGAATGAAGCGTGCATGCGTTTTGTCATTACCATGCTCATACCAACGTAGGGCGCGCCTCCAGCACGTGTATATGACCGCCATGAGCCTCGGGTGGACGCTATCGATTAGGGATGGTACGTCATCCGCTCGCTAAAGACCTCATTGATGCGGCCGGCGCTGTCAATAGTTCTACCGATGCTGCAAATGGTCACGAAAACACGACATGTCAGCTGCAGCTGGATAAATTCACTCGTGGTAGTATCGCACAGTGTTCATCGACCGTTACTCATTTGAAGGCCGGGCAACTCGAAACAGTCGTCTCTGGCACGACACGGCTGCGCATGGATCCGCTTCCAGCTTCCGTGGATGAGGTGGGCCTTGCCCGCAGCATGCCCGCAGCATGAGGCGCAGGTGCTGCAGGTCACAGCCAGCGCTGGCAAAGGGTCTTTTGGACGTCAAAGAGGCCGCTGAGTGGCCGCCCGGCCATACCAAGGTGTAAATGCACCCCAAGGCTGAAGAGCAAGGCCAATGACAGATGTAGAGAACGACCCACGTTGTGGCCACCCGACCTCCCGACCTTTGACGTTACTCGTGCACTAGCATGGTTACGACACTGCGGATCTGCGACAGCTCAAATATAGATCACCTAAACACCTAGTCCCTTCACTAAGCTTTTCAGTCCCTTTCGACATATACTAACTGACCGGTGCCCGGGGCCCTGCATGTGTGGTGCTCGTGTTTGCTGTTGTGTCAAACCCATGTTGCGGCGCGCATAGTATATTTTCCTACGCTTCACGATACCCCAACTCTTGCTCCTCCCGCGCCGCATAGACAACTACTAGATCGCCTCGCCATGCTGGGAGACAAGAAGAAGTCCTCTCGTCGGTTGTCGAGTTTGTTCGGATCGTCTGGGTCGTCCGAGCCGTCAGGGTCTACAAACAATGCGAAGTTGAGCCCAACCCCTGCGTCATCAGAGTCCAGCAGCCGCTTGACCAAAGTGCGCAATCGCCTCTCTTCAGCGACACACCTCACGCCCGAATATCCTCCACCCGCCGCTCAGTCACCACGCGCGGTGTCTCTCTCCAACCCCACCATCCAGCCGGTCGTGCCTGCCGATCTTGAGCCCCTCGAGCCACCGCCGCCGCTGGAGGTGCCGTCGCGCGCATCGTCACCAGCCAGTAGCCGACCCGGAACGCCGAGCTTAGACCCATCCGAAGGAAAACTGAAGAAGCTGCGCAGGAAGAGCGGTCTGTTTGGCGGCCCACCCGGCGGCATTGAGGGGGTAGACGCTGCGTCTGGCGCACCACAGGGCAATGCGAGCCCGCTGGCATGGATCGTCGGACACAAGGGCAAGGTGCCATACAACCTGACGTTCCTGCTGAACGGCGAAAAGGTAGTCTGCGGCTGCTCTCAGAATATCATACCAACGCTGACAAGATGAAAGGTCCCTGAACTCTGGGACGACGCTGGAGACACGTTTGTCTACCTCTTTCCCCGCACCTCTGACAAGGGCCCTTCCTTCCGCATCGACTCGTCCGTATACGCAGCATCGCACCTGCTCACTCGCCTCGTTCATGGCAGCCTCTACAGCGACGCAAACGTACCCCCGCTCGACCTAGTAGACCGGACATCGCGACGCGTGTCACGAGAGCCATTTGGTGAACAGTCGCGGACTGCATCGCCCGACCAGAGCCAGATAGGAAGCTCGGATGAATCCATATCCAAGGGGTCCAGAGCGCTAAGCGACGCCCTGGAGGACGAGTACACGGAGAAGCACCTGTACATGCCCATCTCCCTGAGCTCCGACTCTGCCATCACCCCTCACGAGCCCCGGCTCGACGCAAACGATACCGACACGTTGGTTACCTACCGCAACTTCTTCGCCTTCCTCATCGGACAGTCGCTGGTCGCTACCGAGCGTCACTCAGACATCTTCGACATCTTCCTGCGGATTGGAGACATACTGTCGCACTATGCCTTTTCCAACGTCGACGGATCTACCTTTGGCGAGGTTGCTGCGTCGAGCTTTGACTGCTACGTTGACGAATTGACCCTCGCAGACGTCCGCCACAGCCGCGAGAAGACTATAGAAGCCATTGTGCTAGGAGAAAAGTTGCGCTCGATGGCACTATACACCGAGGGTTTCGTCCACGCTGCCGGAAAGTACAACAGCGTCAAAGAACTCGACTCGCCTAAATTTGGCATGATCAGCCCAAAGAGTTCTACGCGACTTGCCCGAGCTGCTATGGATCTGGAAAACCGCGAGCAAACCATCAATCACAAGCTCAAGGACTTTGAGTTTCCGCATATCTTCTCTGGCATTATGAACAGCGCAATGGCAAGCGAGGGCAAGGTCATTAGCTTCAAGAAGTGGAGGGCTGCCTTTATGACTATCAAGTCTTTCGTCATGGACTACTATAGGCACAAATACGGCTCATGGCTACCAAAGGCCAAGTCAAAGAAGAACAACTTGACTACAAGTGGTCTTAACCGACTGGTCTTACTAGAGATCTATCGCGACATGGCTAGTCTGTATGATCTCCTCGTGGATAGGAAGAACTTGACAAACCGTACTGCCGACGGCTTTATTGCAGAAGACGAAGGAACAGACATCGAATCCGTTGTTGCGCGTGCGCTGAGGAAGGTTCTGAGCGAATATGACCGCAGCACACCACCAGTCGCGCCACCGATTCCTTTTGACCTACCACTCTACCCCATTTCACAGAACGCAAAGACAGGCGACGCGAAGAAAGACGCAAAAGCGCGAGGGAAGAAACTGCACAAGGATGAAGTCGCCAAGCTACTAAAGCAATCGCACAACGCCGATGCTGAACAACAAACACCGTTCCTAGAAGCATTCCGCACATTCGAGTTCAAACAAGCCACCGGCTCCAACATGGACGACATGTGGGACATGCGATCAGGCCAATGGCTCTTCCTATACGCCGTAATCCAGTCCCTACCCATGTTAGTCGTCGACGCACCCGGCGTGCGCTTCACCGAAGGCGTAGAATACTTCCTATGCGAAGTTCCACGCAGCGGCGTCCCCTGGGCCCGAGAAGACACAACCCGCTCGCGAACCTGGTTCGGAGTCGCAGGTGGCGCGCAAGTCGTGTCCCTACCCACCGACGTTGTCGAGCACGGCGTCGAAGGCACATTCCGCCGCTCGCACTGCTGGAAGAAGGCTCAGCAGTGGGCTGCAGACGATACTCTGCTCAACGCCGCGATGCAGGAATTGAATGCGAATGCCTCTCCGTTACCACCGCCGCCCGGTCTTCTTGATCCTGGTGCGGCTGCTCGTGCGCGAAGTCAGAGCCCGGATCGAAGGCGGGAAAGCGTTATGAATCTCGGGTTGGAGGCGTTGCCGCTGCCGCCTGGTGTTGCGCCGCCGATGCCCATGGGCAGCCCGAATTTGAGACCGGCGAGCAATCACGATCCTAACAAGACTTTCGATGATATATTAGGAACGTCGGCGTCAGACAATGGGAAGAAGAACAAGAAGAAGAAATGAGCGACGGACAATGAGGGATGGGATGGGATATGGGTTGACCGGGGGCGGATTTGATGCATAAAAGCGCGTGTTTTCATAATGTTCACGTTCGGCATATACAGGAGGCAGCATTGGTGGGCTTCTTGTAATGATTTGGAGCGATATCGCATGCATGCGCGCAGATGTCATAATACAGAGGCTGGATTTAGAGCCTGATATATAGAAATGGCATATCCATGGATGAAATGTACCTATCGCAGCTATCGCGCTTGTCGCTAGTTCCCGCTTCGCATTATCGCCGATATCGTCGCATGGGTGGGTGGGGGAGGCGGAGGGGAGGCGGAGGGGAGGTGGTGGAGGTTAACTATGTGAAGTGCGTGGAAGTTATGTAGGCGTTGTTTAAAGGCTGATATGTAGACATGGTCATGAGAGTTGTACCTATCGCAGCTATCACGCTTGTTGCTAGTTCCCGCTTCCGATATCGTCGCGCCCTACATATTTACCCACACGAACACTCATCCTCGCAAACCCGCGTGCCGTTGAAGCTTCCTTGCTTCAATCGCGGCTGCCACACCCTCAGATCCCGTCAACATGACGTCCTCGCTACCGGGAAACCGCGACCTGCCAGTCTCGCAGTTCAACCTAGGGACATACTGGGGTCGCGTGCAGCACTCAGCAAACATATCAGATCCGAGGTGAGACACTGCGCGCGGAAGGAGAATGTTTCCTTGGGGATACTGGGTGTGGTGAGTACCACGACCTTGAGCTTTTCCATCGCTGTTATATCATCTTGAGAATTGTTTCCTGGTCATAACTAACCAACGCGCAACAGAACCCTCCTCACCTCATCGACCGGCCTCGAAAATGCAAAGAAACTCGTTACCGCGTACAAAACGGGCAAGATCCCAGAGATGACGCCTGAGCTGTGGAATGCGAAGAAGATCATCGATTCTACCATACACCCAGGTACTACAACCGGCGCGTTCGCATGATGAGGAGGAGGCGCTGACAGAGTGAAGACACGGGCCAGCCAGTCTTTCTGCCTTTCCGCATGTCGTCTTTTGTCCTGACAAACTTGGTTGTCACGGCTGGCATGCTTACACCGGGTCTTGGGGTACGGAAAGCGTCTACATTGGGATAATGCGACAATATACTAAGAGTGTACAGACAGCGGGCACACTAGGATGGCAAGTCACAAACCAGTCGGTCAACGTCGGAATCAACTTCTCCAACGCGAACAAATCGATCCCGCTCTCCACCTCGACAATCGTCCAATCCTACCTCCTCGCCGTCAGCGCATCATGCGGTGTTGCACTCGGTCTCAACGCGCTGGTACCCCGCCTTAAGAGCCTGTCGCCCAACGCAAAAGTCATCGCTGGGCGATTGGTGCCCTTTGCGGCTGTTGCGACAGCTGGTGCGCTCAACGTGTTCCTCATGCGCGGTGAGGAGATCAGACAGGGCATCGACGTGTACCCCGCGCTGTCAGAAGCCGAGCGACGCAGAGTAGACACAGGAGATATGGAGGTCAAGCCGCTGGGCAAGAGCAAGAAGGCAGCTACACTCGCTGTAGGAGAGACGGCGCTGAGTCGCGTGCTCAATGCGACGCCTATTATGGTGCTGCCGCCTCTCCTGCTCGTGAAGCTGCAGAAGACAGAGTGGCTTAAGCAGAGGCCTAGGATGGTGACGCCGGTGAACTTGGGTAAGTTGATGTGAAGGGCGTTTGTGGGATGATGGCTAACGCGAAGTCAGGACTCATTTTCACGACATCCATCTTCGCGCTGCCACTTGCGCTCGCTGCGTTCCCGCAACGCCAGGCTGTCAGTGCGCAGTCGCTCGAACCCGAGTTTCATCAGCGCGGTGGCAAGGATGGCATGGTGGAGTTTAACCGTGGGATATGATGGACCGGTAGTATGGCCAGAGAACACGGTTGCAGTACATCTGAACAGCAGGGACAAACTATTGTGTGAAATGATCTAGGCGTATATGCCATGCTGCAGGCATCAGACGCAGTCGAACATCCATGGATAGCTGCAAGTAGGAGGAGGACATGGTCGCGCTGCTGCATTGCGGCGAAGACGGTTTTCCTGACGCTGTGATTGGCCAGATTGCTCAAAGGATCTCGAAGGGCATACAGAGGACTCGACACGATTACTAGATAAGACCAAATGTCCTCAATCCAAAAGAAGCAGTAGGCAGCAGTGAATTAAGCTTTTCATCAAACGACCGTCTCTACATGTGACGTTGCGTTGATGCTATAACGTCAAACTGTCCTTTGGAGAAAGACCAGGTGTCAAATAAGTCCGGGACAGGGTAGCTCGATCCAAGTACATTACTACGAAACCGCCCTCGCATTTCAACACTCAAAGGACCACGGTTTCGACCGACAACCCATTCACCGCTATTTCTCTGGGATAGATTCCCGATCGCTCTCTTCTCTTCTATCGAGGTTTTTTACTGCAACGTATTAACCTCACCCACTTCTTCCCCGCGGCGAAGCACGCACATCCCACCACAACCTCTCCACGCCTGCCGTTAACGACACCTTTCGCTTTCCGCACCACACCACACATCATGGCGCCACCCGGACGCCGGAGAGGCAATCTCTCACCGGGAGCCATGCTCCTCGGTCTCTTCTTCCTCTTCTCGACGACCGCGTCCGCCGCCTCAGCCGTCATTGGCGTAGACCTAGGCACCGAATACATCAAAGCCGCGCTCGTAAAGCCCGGCGTTCCCCTCGAAATCGTCCTGACCAAAGACTCGAAACGGAAAGAGACGTCAGCTGTCGCTTTCAAGCCCTCCAAGAGCGGTGCCCTGCCTGCGGGCTCCTTCCCCGAACGCTTCTACGGCGGCGATGCGATTGCGCTCCAGGGACGTTTCCCGGGCGATGTATACCCGAATCTGAAACACCTTCTTGGTGTGTCGAGTGAGAGCGATATCGTGGGCACGTACAAGGAGAGATACCCTGCGTTGGAGGTTACAGGAACGGACAAGCGCAACACGGTTAGCTTTGTGAGCAGCGTCTTCGCCGAGGACAAATCATACACCGTTGAGGAGCTACTGGCTATGGAGTTGAAGAACGTCAGGGAGAACGCAAAGGCGATGGCGGGCAAGGGCTACGATATCCAGGACGTTGTCTTTACGGTTCCGGCATTCTACACGGTCGACGAGAGGCGCGCGCTTGAGGTTGCTGCTCGTCTGGCTGGTCTCAAGGTGCTCAGCGTTGTTTCTGATGGTCTGGCTGTTGGTCTCAACTATGCTACTGGCAGGACCTTCCCCGACGTTACCAAGGACGGCAAGCCGGAGACGAACCTGGTGTTTGACATGGGCGCTGGATCTTTGTCGGCTACTGTTCTCAAGTTCCAGGGCAGGTCTGTCAAGGATGTTGGCAGGCGCAACAAGACTATCCAGGAGGTTCAGGTCATGGGCGCTGGATGGGACAGGACGCTTGGAGGTGATGCGATGAACTCGCTCATCGTCGACGACATGGTTGCTACCTTTGTTGAGCTTCCAGCTGCTAAGAGCGCTTCTTTCACCGCCGACAAGGTCAAAGGCCATGGACGTACCGCTGCGAAGCTCTTCAAGGAGGCTGAGAGGGTTCGCCAGATGCTCAGCGCTAACAAGGAAACTAATTCTTTCTTCGAGAGCTTCTACGAGGATGTCGACTTCAAGTACAAGCTATCTCGCACCAAGTTTGAGGAGCTTACTGCCGACTACGCCAAACGTATCGATGGACCGATCAACCAGGCCCTCGCAGCCGCTGGCCTTACCTTCGCGGATATCGACTCTGTCATCGTCCACGGTGGCGCGAGCCGCACACCCTTTGTCCAGGCCCGCCTCGAAGCAGTCGCAGGCAAGAGCAAGATCAGGGCGAACGTCAACGCCGATGAGGCTGCCGTGTTCGGCGCTGCTTTCAAGGCCGCTGGACTCAGCCCGTCTTTCCGCGTGAAGGAGATCCGCGACTCGGACACCCAAGGCTACAACCACGGCTACCAGTACATGCTCAACCTTAAGGACCGCGACCAGAAGATCTTCACCCCCAACACCAAGCTCGGAGCGACCAAGGACCTGCCTTTCAACTTCATGGGCGAGTTCGAGTTCACCATGTACCAGGCTGTTCCCGGCGCTAACGGCGAGGTGTCCAAGGAGCCTACTCTTCACTTCCAGAGCGGTAACTTGACAAAGGTCGTTACTCACATGATCAACGAGAACAAGTGCGAGCGTGATAGCTTCAACAACTATGTTCAGGTTAGGCTCAGTCCTGTTACTGGTACTCCTGAGGTCTTGTCTGCGTGGGTCACATGCGAGACTGAGAGCGAGGAGGTCAAGGGCGGCATTGTTGATGGTGTCAAAAATCTGTTTGGTATGGGTGGTAAGAAGGATCAGGAGCCGTTGAAGGAGGGCGAGAGCTCTTCTTCTTCATCTGCTTCGTCCTCCAAGTCTTCCAAATCATCGTCGTCTTCCTCTTCCGCAGGTGCTGAGAGCACTGATGCTGCCAAGGCTGGGGAGAAGAAGATTAAGACTGTTAGGTCGGCGATTACGTACGATGTTGAGCAGTTGGGTTACAAGAAGTTCCCTCGCAAGGAGTTGAAGAGGATGCAGGACAGGTGAGTTTTTAAACATTGTTGTACACGTGCAACTACTAACGTCGACAGGCTCGCCGCTTTCGATTCATCTGACAAGTCTCGCCGCACCCGCGAGGAGGTCTTGAACTCGCTTGAAGCCTTCACCTACCGCGCTCGGGACTATCTCGACGACGAATCCTTCATCGGAGCTTCCACCTCTGCCGTCCGCGAATCGCTCGAAAAGGCACTCAGCGCTGCTTCAGACTGGATGTACTCCGGCGGTGCCGATGCAGATGAGAAGACTCTTAAGGGCAAGCTCAAGGAGCTCGAGGACATTGTCAAACCAGTGATGAAGCGCAAGGATGAGGCCGCCAAGCGCCCCGATGCCATCAAAGAGCTCAAAGACACCATCGCCCACATCAAGGAAGTCGAGCAACTAGTCGACGGCCAGATCAAGACGCAATCCGCCGAGAGCTCCAAGAGCAGCGAAGCCGTCTCCAAAGCCTCCGCCTCCGCCTCCGCCTCGCCCTCCACCGACCCCATGGACGAGCTTGACGAAGAGGCCGACGCACCCGCCGCGCCTGAGATCACCGAAGTCCCAACCATCTACACAGAATCCGATCTCAAGACTGTCCAAGAGCACGCACAAAAAGCACAGGTCTGGCTCGACGACAACGAAGCCAAGCAGGCTGAACTGGGTCCCACAGATGATCCCGTCTTCACGGTCAAGGACATCATGGCCGAGAAGAAGAAGCTAGACGACGTCGTCATGGACATGATGATGAAGAAGATGAAGCACTTCAAGCCCCCGAACCAATCTAGTTCAAAGACCAAGACCGCGAAGCCGAAGACGAAGAAGGCGAAGAAGACTAAGACGAAGAAGGCGGGGAAGGCTGAGACGAAAGAGACTGATGTTCCCGCTGCAGACAGTGAGAACGCACCGAGTCAAGCGGAGTTGGAGGAGGCGTTGAAGAAGGCGGGCTTCAGTGCTGATGGCATTAAGTTGCAGAATATGGGGAGTCAGACGGATGGAGAGGAGGGCGATGTGACGGATGAGAAGGGCAGGTTGTTGAAGAAATTGGATATTGGAGAGGGGGCGAGTGAGGAGGATATTAAGGCTGCTATTGATCGGTTGGTGGCGCAGGGTGGACAGGGTAAGGATGGGAAGGGGAAGAGAGAGGAGGGGAGTGATGAGTTATAGATGGATGGTATAGTGAGGGAAGGGAAGGATGTGCTCGTATGATGGGGGAAGGGGATGGAAGTGATAGACGATGAAGTGAATAGATTATCAATGCGAATGAGAATTTGATAAGTTAACGATACGAGCTTCTTTACGAACTATTAGTCCACTCTCACATGTGTTAAGCTATCGGCTTCCATACCTTCCAGTTTTCCACCGAAGCATGGGTGGGTGGGGGAGGCGGAGGGGTGGAGGTGGAGGCTGAATCTCTTTGGATTCGATTTCGTCTCATAATAATGTGATCACACCTAACCTCGAACACTTACTCCAAGTATCAAGCCACCGGCTTCCACATCTTCCAGCCTTCCACCTCAGCGCCCGCGCTCTCGACCATCAACTCTACGTCTACCTCAACATCCCGCGCTGACTTGTTGTCGTAGTCGTAGGTAGAATGTGCACCTTGCAACAAGATGACTTTGAATCCAGCGGCTAGTGCACCTCTGCAGGTCGAAAGCACGCAGCATTCACTTTGTATGCCAAAGGCTACAATCGTGTCTACACCCGATTTCTTCAGTTGGGACGCAAGGGATGGATTGGAGGAGAAAGTATCGCCTAAACGCATTCGTCAAGAAATCTCTAGAATTTGACATATACTCACGGACATCCTTCCCCACAACCCTCTCCCAACTATTCCCCTCTCGTGGCTTGAACACCAACTCCCACGCCTTACTCCCTTTGACCAGCGGTCCTTTCTCCGCAACCTCCTCGTGCTGCACGAACACAATCTCTAAATCCGGTTCTCGGCCCTGTTCGCACGCCGTGTCAATGGCTTGACGTGCTCGTTGTAGGATGCTCGTTCCGGCTTCGCGGATACGGTCCGCATGTGGTATTTCAGTCGGCGGATTCTGCGCCAATTCTACTTGGATGTCGATTACGAAGAGGGCTGTACGTGGCATGATGGGTATGGGGTTTGGGATGAGGAGGGGGGTTGTGATGTTGTGCATGTTGGGTGTATGGCGTATGAGTCATGGTCAGTATACTGGCGGAGGTAGAGCCGAAGCACTCAGAAGAAATTCCGAGCACGTCGAACTTGGTGGATACATCCGTCGTCATCTAAAGACATTGCAATGCTAGGTCCTGCTTGTAATGTCTTTGTAAGAGCGGCGCTGGAAGGTTACTCATTGTTACTGAATGGTGTAACGACATCCTAGACCCCGCTTGCAGTAAGCTGGGGATTTCTATTGTATGATCATGCTCATGTAGCACTTTGGAAGCTTGATCTCTCAAGTCCACTGACTGACACTGACCAGCTTGAGTAGATGAAGTCGCCCTGATATGCGTGATACGAGAGCTATGAAACGCAGAGTTCAAGCCAGCGAGGGGCAGAGTATACCAGACTGGGAATAGTGAGTTGATGCAGCATGTGCTGGCTATCGTGGTTGTAGTAATTACGAGCGAAGAGGAATTAGTTCAAACAGGAGGGGTAGACTGTGCCCCGCCGCAGAGCCAGCACAGCGATACGTGGACATGAAGCGGCTGGTAAGAATCTTTCAAGGCTCGATGAAGGCGTCAACGATATATCGTGAGATTGGTAGCCCTTCTTTGTTTTGAGGAGCTTGTGCCACTTGCGATCGGCTTCCTACACCGACCTTTTTACAAAGACGTGAATCAGCGACTCAAAGATTTTCAGCTCATGGCCATGCGCGCGTGAAACGGTCTGTCTCGTAGTGGGGTGATGGCTATCTTTGAGTAGTCATGTTACATGCTGCAGAATGAGGCTGTACTCGCATGAAGGAAGATCCAGATCCTATCAAAGGCGAGGGTTCTCAAAAAGGCATGCAGGCGGGAACACTACCGCGGCGTCGCCCACTGAAATCCGAAGGCTCCATGCTGGAAGGGTTGGAAAGGATGGGGCGCGAGGCCGTTGGTGTACGTTTGGGGTTAGGCGCTAAAGTGTCGGTGTGTAAACAAACTCCAGCACGCTCTTGACACGTCGACAACGCACGCGCTAGCCATCCCAACCACCTCGCAGCCAACCCCCACCGGCTGCCGCCTCGGCTCACCATGAATTTCAGATGATGGGATCCCTGGCCTCCCATTCTATCTATTCTGCAATTGTTCAACTTCACAAACTTTGAGTTACACATTGCGAAGAATTGCTGCACCGCGACACTTAGGTCCGATATGGCTACCACTATGCACCACCCGTCTCCCCAGCCGGGCCTTACCTCATTCGCCATCTACGAAGACCCACAGGATCGCGAACCCTTGTCGCCTTCGGACTTGTTCGACGGCAGTGACTCGTACCACTCCGAACGCTCGTTCCCCATGGCCCACGACGTTGTACATAGCATTGAGCTGGCACAGCAACAGGAGCCCGACGACGAGCCCCAGCCCTACCGCAGCTCCTACACCTCGCGCCCGGGGTCGCAGCAGCGCATGTCCTCGCACTACAGCTTCGTCTCGGCTATCCCCTCCGAGTCGTCGATAGCTTCCAAACCCATCCTGCCCGCTAACGAGGCCGGTGCACGAGCACGCAAGGAACGTCCGCGCTTCCGGAATACTGAGTCTGTCCGCGCCATGCAGATGTCGTCGCCGCCGCCCACACTCGCACACCAGACCTCCCAAGAGCGACTCAAAGGCTCTTTCAAGCTGGCTACACCTAGCAGGAGCAGCCGATCAGAGCACGACATGTCGAGACAGTCTACCGGCTCGCGGAGAAGGAGCATACGGGAGCCTCATAGTCCGAGACCGACTCCGACACCGCAGCAGGCGCCGCTGGTCCTGTTACATGTTACCATTCTGCCCATGCAGGTACCGTACTCGCACGACATCATGGCCAGGATCATGCCTGACTGGCTGGTGGAGAACTACAAGCTGCTGGAGGAGAAGCTGCAGGACATCATCCTGATGCGACGCGGCCTTCTCATCCCGCACCCCAGGGACGAGTACGACCTGCTCGAGGAACGCATACTGGAGAGCTTGGAGCTCAGGACACCCCGGCTGCTCCCGTGCGGCCACTTCGTCCCACCCGAGGACGAGGACGAGCGGGAAGACGAGGACGATGTCGCGAGCGTCGGCGACGAGAACACCGGACGGGGCAGTCGCATGAGTGGAGGCACACTGACGGAAGGAAGCAACACCTCCCACAACGGCGACCACAGCATGTGCATAGACTGCCATCGCGAGCTCAAGAAGCCCGGCAAAGGCATCGGTGCAGGCACACGGAAATGGGACATCAAGATCTACGCCGCCAACGGCCTGATGCGCGCCGCCGCATGGCAAGCCTGCTGGAACGACATGGAAAGATGCGACGTCGAGATCCACCCCTGGATCCCCGAGGAGGTCCGCAAGACGCTCGAGCGCCGCGCCCAGGAGGAGCAAGAAGCCGACAAGCGCAAGGCACAATACACCGTCGAACTCCAACGCCAAATCCAAGAAGCCGCAGCCAAGACCAAGATCCTAGAAGAGGAAGCCAACGAGGCGAAGCGCAAGGAGGAGGCCGAACTACAAAAGAGCTTCGAAGAGGCTGCCGCCGCTCTGCAAAGAAGTATCGAAGAGAAAGCAGCTGAGAGGAAGAAGTTCGAAGAGGACCTCCAGCTCAAGCTCAACGAAGCGAAGGAGGCTGTTCGTCTTGAACTCGAAGCCAAGGCCCTCGCTGAATCCGATGCCGTCGCCCAGCGTCTCCGTGCGCTGGAAACTGCTATCAAGGAACAGGAGAGCGCCGAAGCTGCCACACGTCTCTCGGCAGCTCAAATACCGCTCAGCACGCTGCTGAAGAACTATGTCATCCTTCTTCTCAGCGACAAGCGCAACTCTATTATCTTGCTGCTGGCTGTGGCCGTCGCATACATGGCGATGAACATGCGTGCTGCTCAGCAAGCACCCGCGTCGGCGCAGATGCTCGAGCTACCGACTGAGGTTGTGGCGAGCATGCCCAATGCCGTTACGGCTACTATGACTGCGACGAGTTACTCTACGTTTACAGTCACTGAGTTTGCTACTGCTACCGCCGTCCCTGTTCTTGAGATTGCAGACCCGGAGATCGAGTCTATGGCTGAGGAGGTCAAGGCTGAGGTTGAGGTCGTTGTCGAGGAGAAGGCGGAAGAAGAGATATTTACCAGCCCCGCTGTAGACCTTGAGCTCTTCGACGTCGTTGCGGAGGAGTCTACTCCCCTCGCTGCTGCTGAGGTTGAGGCGAAGACGGACGTCGTTGTTGCGTCCTACCAGACACCCGCTGAAACCTCGTTCTGCGCTTCAGAAGTCGAACCCGTCTTCCCTGCGTCGCTTGCTTACTGCGCTGCGTCTGCTTAGATGCCCTCACACAACCTCTCCCGCCTTCTTCCTCCTCCTGCATCGTCTTCTCCCCACCCCAATATTTCCTCCCTTTTTCTTTGTCCTACTTTTCCTTTTCTCTTTTCTATGAAGCTTATAACGCATACCCCTCACGGCCTCAAGCATCTACCTATCTATATGCATATACATGTGCATTTGCATTTGCATTTTGCATACATACACTCACACGATACTATACCATGTCTTTCATGTTTCATGTTCATGACGTAATGTAGCGGTTTCGATCGAAGATATCCCTTTTCTTTCGCTTTTTTCTTTCTTTATGGTTGGTTTGAGGCATAGCAGAATGGAGTGGGTTATTGGTTGATGACTTGGATGGTGTGGCTGTGGATATGGGTATGGTTAGGGATATGGGGAGTATATACCAATATGAAGAATGAAGATATAATATCAATATGTTACCGTGTGCGGCTTGGTCTCAGTATATTTGAGTTGCTGTGAGAGACTGAATTGGCGGTGTGAACGTAAAGGGTAGCAGGCATATCAGTATAGTGTGGAGATATTCGACTTAGCTTTGATGTTCATTCGACATGGGAAAGAGCATAGTAGTCCGATAGACTGGTCTTTGTGATTATCAGCTTTGTATCCGATAGAGCTCTGCAAGTATAATCATGCACAAGCATCCATCTTTCAGTCTCCTTGCCCCCAAACTACCCCATCCACCCCCTCTCCCACTCCCTCTACCGCTCACTCCTCAGGCTGAATACCCTTCTTCCTCAACTCCTCCCTCTTCCTCCCCGCCCTACTCTTCGCATCCTCAACCCACGCCCCATAAGCCCCCTCGCCCTCCTTCAACTTCGCCCTCGTAACCGCTTTCAACAACTCCCCCACAAACCCCACAAAGTTATGCCTCCTCAAACTATTCTCATACAGCCACCTCGCGCGTTTGTCTTCTTGCTCTTCGAGCTCGTCCTCGTCGCCTATCTCCCTCGCCCGGATGCGCAGGTCGCGACAGCAGGCCATGAGGTTGAACCGGATTTCCGAGGCGGGGTAGCGCGCGATGCGGCGTTGGAGGACGGGGATGATTTTGGCGGGGAAGTCGGTGGGGGTGCAGGGGCCGTGGAGGATGGGCGCGGGTTGGAGGCCGTCGAGTTCGTAGAGGTGGGAGTTTATGGATGTGTAGCTGGGTGGATGGGTTAGTGGACTGTGGGGGGTAAGGTAGATAGAGTGGGAACTTACGCGATAAAGTGGAAGACATCGTCGTCTTCAGTAGCCGTCCTTTGTGTCTCGTCGACGAACGGCGAAGACCGCGCGAAGGAATTGTGGGTTTCGCGAATGAGGTCCGAGTTCGACAGTGTTTCTCCTCGTAGCTATGCCTCCTTATCAGCCCCTCCTATCCAAAGCATAGATACAGTCCCTGCCTTCACATACCTCTGGCGGGAAGTCCCCAGCAAATTCCTTGAACTCCTTCAGTTCCTTACCAATATCCACCTCCTCTTCCCTATTCAGCAGCAGCGAAACAATCGCCTGTGTACCACACGCATTCTGTATCGTTTGCGCAGGGAAAAAGAGCTTATTCGCCGCCTCGTAGTCGTACGTCCCGTCTTTCGGTACGTCGCTGGGTTTCTCGCCGGTCGGGTACTTGAAGAGGAAGATTACGCCGTATAGTGTACCGAGGGCTTGTAAGTCTGAGGGTTCGAGTGTGGTGAGTTCTTCGAACTCTACGCCCTTGACACCGAGCTTCTCGATGAGGTATGTGAAGACACCCTGTTGGGGTTGTTAGTATTAGTCGGTTTTTCTTGGGGGATAGGGGTGGCGGGCTTACAGCATCAGACTCTATGGTGTTCCAGCCTCCCGACATAGTTGCGTGAAGGTAGAGCGGTGAGGTGCGCAAGTGTGTTGTCGATGTGTTTGGACCTACGCCATCGACAGGCGCCGCCGGAATAACTCCTCGGCCCGCGCTTCGGAACGTTCCGATGCCCCACTATGAAATGGAAGTGAACAAGGTCGTTCCATGTGCTGACCCCTCTACCCGGTATCGCTCGTGTTCATGGAATCATCTTCTCGTGTCACAGAACAAACGTCTTGGCGGATATGTATGGGTTCGGTCACAGCATGGAGTTGACGCATCAGCCCTGCAGTGATGTCTACTGTCCCAAGGTTCCAGGGTCCACTTCATTCCAACCGCATCCAAGGCCATCGCTAGAGTAAGGCCGACGGGGCTCCTTACTCAGTACTTCTAGTCATCTCTGGTCTCCTTGCAAATTCTCCCTTGTCATATCTCTATACAGGCAGATCTGCTGTGTACCGGCAGATAGATCGGAAGCACGCTCCTCAGCCTGCTTCACGATAAGCTCATACTGCCAGGCTCTTTCTCCTTTTAGGACTAGACATCCATTACATTCACCTCGGTCATCACTTCCTCTTCTGTCCTATTGGCAGCTATGTCTACTAGGACACTTCGTGAGTGGGCCTGTAGTGAACCCTGGTCGGCTTCCCGAGCACGCAATGAAGTTGCAACTTCGCGCGATGGGCGTAGGTAGCGACTACCCGGATACGTCAGAGTGTAAACAATTTCCAAGGTATATCAACACTGTGAATTCTAAAGAACGCAATTCTCACCCACAATCATGATTCCAAGTCGAATTCTACTGTTTCTTTCTTTCGGTGTAGCCGCTGTTATAGGGCGCTCTACCAAACCCAACTTCATCTTCATTATTACAGATGATCAAGACTTACATTTGAACTCGCTCGACTACCAACCTGCTGTACAAAAGCATTTTGCCCAGGAAGGTACTTGGTTCAAGAAGCATTTCTGCACCGTAGCACTATGTTGCCCGTCACGAGTGTCTCTCTTGACTGGGAAAGCCGCCCATAACACGAACGTCACGGATGTCTCAGCTCCTTATGGTACGTCGAATGTAAAGGCATATGCTAGGAAATTATACTCACTCCCAGCAGGCGGATATCCTAGGTTCATTGAGGAAGGTTTCAACGATGCTTATCTTCCCGTGTGGCTTCAGGAGGCGGGCTACAACACTTATTACACTGGGAAGCTGATGAATGGACACTCCACGTCTACATACGATGCACCGCGAGCCAGCGGCTGGAATAGTTCTGACTGTAAGTATCCCGATACCACTACAGCGAAGCTTTCCAGACACTGACATCTACAGTCCTGATTGACCCCGGAACATACGTCTTCTACAACTCAACCATGACGCGTAACCACGACGTCTACAGAAACTCACCAGGAGAGTACTCAACCGACCTCGTAGCCAACGCCGCAGTCTCCTTCCTAGACGAAGCCATCGCAGCACCAGACCGACCATTCTTCATCGGCGTCGCACCCATAGCCCCCCACTCAGAAACAATCACCAACCCACGCCCTGCAAAGTTCAATCTACCCGTCCCCGCAAAGCGACACGAGCATCTCTTTCCGGATGTGAAAGTACCCAGGACACCAAACTTCAACCCCTCAAAAGTAAGTAACCCCACCTCTTCCACCGCAGTCCCCATCTCACACTAGTATCCCATCAGCCAGGAACAGCATCCTACTTCTCCACGCTCCGCCCACTCAACGACTCAGAAATCGCGTACAACGACGCCTGGTACCGCGCGCGCCTGCAAACCCTCCAATCCGTCGACGACCTCATAGAATCAATCATGAACCGTCTGAGCGAAACCCCCGAGGTATTGGAAAACACTTACTTGATATATACAACCGACAACGGCTTCCACATCAGCCAACACCGGCTCCCGCCCGGTAAATCCTGCGGCATAGAAGAAGACATCAACATCCCTTTCTTCATCCGCGGCCCAGGCATCGCCAAGAACGCTATTCAGAATATACCGAGTAGTCATACTGATATCGTGCCTACGCTATTTCATCTCGCTGGTATACCACCCCGGGAGGACTTTGACGGGGAGGTTATTCCTGTTACGGGGGCGATGCAGGAAAGGAGTGCGAAGAGTGAACATGTTAATGTTGAGTTTTGGGGTGAGTATTTGGTGGAGGGGAATACGTTTTATGGGCGGGATGGGTGGGCGGAGAATACGTATAAGACGGTGAGGGTGGTGGGGGAGGAGTATGATTTGAGTTATACGGTTTGGTGTACGAATGAGCGGGAGCTTTATGATATGAAGGTTGGTCTGCTTTTTCTTTGCTCTTTCCACTCTCTCCATCTCTTTGGGTTAAAGGCTTGGGGAAATGCGTACTGACAAACCTCACGCAGACCGACCCATACCAACTCACCAACCTCCTCTCCACACCCAACACCACCACCTTCCCCTCCTCCCCCTCTTTCATAAACTCCTACCCCATCCTCCCCCTAACCGCCCGCCTCGACGCCCTCCTCCTCACACTCAAGCGCTGCAAAGGCCGTGTGTGCACGCGACCATGGGAGAAACTGCATCCAGAGGGTAATGTACGCAATCTGAAAGATGCGATGCATGAGAGATACGATCTGTTTTACTTGGAGAAGCAGAACAAGGTTAGCTTTGATGAGTGTGCGTTGGGCCAGATTTTGAGCGTTGAGGGGCCGCTGGAGCCGGTGAGTTGGAGGGAGGAGTGGGATGAGTGGAGTTGGGGGACTTGAGAGGGGGGAATTTGGAGGGATGGGGTAGGTTGGATGGTAGGAGGGGAGGGGAGGGGAGGGAGTATGTGTAGTAGGATTGATGAAGGATATTTCTCCCCCGTCTGCCAGACTACTGAGCAAAGAGAAATTTGAGAAAGGAAGGAAGCAACTTCAAACCCCGTCTCAATCCCAAAAACGGGCCATACCTCCCTTCTTCGAAGAATCCAGTTTCCACCACCTCCGATGACATAACCACTCGTACATTCGTTCATTCATTCATCCACAGCACAAACGCACAAACCACACCCACACCCACATAGCCACACCCACCTACCCACCCCAAGCGCCCGGTACCGCCGATGAACATTGACAGCTGAAACTCCCCTCTCCCCCACCTTCACCAGCATGTAACATTGCCCGCGATCTGAAACACATTGCCGGTATCAGGCCACCCAATATTCACGTAAAAAATCCCATAGTCTGTGTGTATCTCCCATGCTAAACGCCCATGCTTTACGACTCGGCGGAAAGCGAGAAATCCGTGACTGACTCAGCAACCCCAGCGTCGATCACGTGTGGGGTCACATAATCTATTGAAAGAACCTTGGAATAGCGAACAAGGCTCATCGGCCTGATTACCTGCCAGATGAGTGATATTACGGCCGAGGCCGAATGTTTCAGGTTACGGAGGTATTGCTCACACACTATTTTCTGAGACTCATTGGGTTATGTATCAGGTCACGAAGATGGTTGGCTGGTTGTGTAGTATTGGGATTGGCCATTGCCTTTAGGCTTATTGGGGTGAATGATAGTTGTAGTGTATGTTTAGGTGTATGTTTGGGTAAGGTTCAGACGGGTGGGCTTGCATAGGCGGGTTTTGTAGTGGACGATATATTGGCAATATGGAGGATTGGAGGGGTGAGTATGATGTGGTGGTGGTGTGCGTCTGGGATGTGAGATCGACGATACACAGTAGATATGCGTGAATATCAAAACGTTGATTTTGCAATAGGTAGAGGTGCATGTTCGGCCGGTGGATCAAAGCCCCCCAAAGCGTTCGGAGGAATTGACAGGTCACATCACAGTGCACGCAATGGCCCGTGAGGGCGGAGAAGAGGAAGTGTCTGTGTGATTTCTCTGTGTCGCCTGCCACACTTGCCGGTAGAAATCGCTTCCGCGCCAATGGTAGCTCAGGGTGCGACGCTTTTTATAGCTCTGGGCCGACGGGTGGAGAGGGATGCTTTGCATGGTCGTGCAGGTGCAAAGTGTGGCTTGCAGATGGCTGGGGAATGTGTATTGCGCGCCGCGCTGAAAACTCGACATTTGGTGTCAAAACTTGCATTTGGTAACCGGCTTGGCTGCGATGTCTTGTTGTCGTGTGACTGCCGGTGTGGTGTCGCGACATGAAGCCTCTTCAGACGTCATAAAATGTATGTATAGTAACGTTCGGATGTTTTTTGTGGTTGCTGAATCGCTGAGTCGGTTAGTAGTGCGCTGGCTTAGTGTACGCTGGAGCTATGCTGAGGCTACGCTGAAAAGGCGAATAGGCCATCGGAAAAGACCGATGCGACGATGGACGACAGATGCGAGTGGAGAGGTGTCTTGTAACCCTAGTCGCAGAACCCCAGAGAAAACATGGCTGCATGGGTAGCCCTAGATGCATGGTCGGCTGCAAACTCCCAGGGTAAAAGGACCTTAATCCTAAGAATAGCCACCACGGATCTATGACAACCAAACACCAGCTCGACGTAGGCGTGTGGCTGAAGGAAGACTAGCCTGCGAATACACATGTTGTCGCATGAACCTGCTTTCGCGCATTCCGCTATGTCATCTAGTAGAGTTTTAGCCTCGGTGGTTGCAAGAGGTAGCTGGCAGGTAGGCGACGGGTGCCGCCGCGATGCCACTGGTTCCTGGTTTAGAACTCGTATCTCGTGGCAGCTACTTGTGCTCCACCACGCGACGGTCGCGACGGTATCGCGCGTATAGACAACGTCATAGGTACAGCCCTATGGGATGTCGGCGACGAAATCGCAGCTGCTGTGACGATATCTCGATATGTGGATGCAGGCTGTTGTGTCAGGCGCCCACCAGCAGGGTCGCGTAATTACTCAGTTACTGTATAGGCCCCGCCAGCAAGCATTCTCCGCTGCATGAGATATTGCCAGGCGGGGAGGTTCCCAGGTTGTTTACCCAGTGATGCGATGGCATTTCGCGATGCCACAGGCGAAGTCACCCACTCGTGGAACTCGTCGGAGCGGAAGTCACGCTTAATCATCGCGCGGCGCCCTTCCGTCGATAGCGGAGACAGGAATAGAGCGAGGTCCGCCGCCACTGCTCGGCGCAACTGGATGCGAAGGAGCGGTATGAGCATAGCGGCGTGAGGATGGGCCAGCGTAGTATCGATGGAAAATCAGCGCGATGAGAGTGTAGACCCTTTTTGCGTGCGGTCTGGTGACAGGTGACGCACGGAGGGCTATTTTTGACCGCGAGATATTGAGGGCCCCGGCTTCCGCAGTGTTTAGCGATCGCTGGTGGCATCGCATCAGCAACGTCAGTCTGATTCGACCGACGTCGCTGGCAGAGTCCAGCTTCGCATCTCGCGTTGATGAGATCTCGGGCATCCATGTCGCCCGTGGTCGCCCGTCCGCCGTCACGCGTGGGCGCTGCCACCTCACTCAGGGCTCTGGAGCTGTCTGAAAAATTAGCAGCGCGCGCGCCCCGAAGCTGACCCGGCGAGCAAGCATGGCGGCCTCCTTCACCCACTATTCCGCAGGCGGCTTCCAACTACCCGTTACAGCATGGCCAGCGAGCTATCCAGGTGCTACTGGTCGATCGTTCTCCACGCACGGCCCGCGCAGCTGTTGGCGTTTCCTCGGTCGTCGGACCTGAATGGCCGTTTTTCACGCCTCTTGCGCTCTGAGCCCGAGCCCCAGCTGGAGCGGCTCATGCACCTGCACGCTCAAACGTCTCCGTCCCAAGCGGATTGACAGGGGCTTTGACCAGAGGGCCACCAAAGGCTGCTTTCTGCGACATGGCCGTCGGCGAACTAGCACCTTCACACTGCACCCTAGCCCTGGGCTCAACCCTCGCCCGACAGGGGCCGCTTCATTCATCCAAACACGTCCTGAGTCTTTGAGCGACGCCGTGCTGCATGTCTGAAAGCGCCCTGCCGACTGCGAGGGTTCATGGCTCGCTGGAACCTTAATCCCCACGGGAGTTACACCGGGGCTATGTCATACGAGCAGGAGCCAGCCGGTGCCATCTGGCAATCAGTCACTCCATCGTCTGTAGCTCCCGCAAGCTTCTCTGCCCTCCCTGCTAGCCTCTCCCGTCTCGCGGGCTGCCACCCAAGTCCCTCTTCCGCCGCTCGTGGCGTCACTGCTATTTGTGTGGACGCTACCTCAGGCTAACCCTACCTGGCCCCGTTTCTCGACGTTTGTCGTCTTTGGGACCGAGCACAAGTCACCCTGCGCTTTTGCCCGCATACCACCCAAGTCCCTTCTTCAGCCTGGCGAGCCTCTAGTCCATAGCCTTGTCCTCATCCTGCATGGTCATTGTGCAGGGGGTAGGTTGCAGACGAGCTTGACCACTTCCGCTGTCACGTCGTCCTGTCGTACCCTCTTAGCCTGTCCGCCGGAGGTATTGCTGGCCTTGCGTCAATATCTCTCCAGCCCTAGAGCTATCTAAGCTCATCCCATCTGCACTCTGCACTATATATCACCAGAACGCCCACGAACAGCCTCCAAATCACCACCCTGTCCAATTTAGTCACCGGTTTCGACCCCATTACCCTCGCTTTATCAACCGCTCGCCAGATCTACCGCCCGCATATACACAGCCCCTCGTCTATCCCACCTTCCCGTCCATCTCGCATACCACACAACAAGAGAACACTGCCTGCGACTGATCCTGTGCCCTGACGTGCTACCACGACCACGCCGTACGGTCCACTTCCCACTCTCGCTAAACTACTTCATCTTCCTCTTGAAAAATGGCTGGTCCCGGTGGAGGCCCTTCAAGGCGCAGCCATACCAAGTCCCGAAAGGGCTGCAAGACGTGCAAGAGGCGGCATATTCGCTGTGATGAAACATTCCCGCAATGGTAAGCACCAACATCTCTTTGTCTACGACTCATGTACTAACATTTCCCAGCCGCAACTGCACCAAGCACCAGGTTCGCTGCGACTACATGGACAGTCCAACTGCCATGATGCCAGAGTCTCCCCAGTCTCCTCAGCAGCCCAACCTGCTCTGGACGCCCGAGATCGAGGCCACCATCGAACTCTGGAGACAGACGGGAGAGTTTCCTTTCCCCGAGCTCCGAGTATACCCACAGCCGCAATGGCGCGCCTTGACGACGGTTGACCTCCGTCTGGTGCACCATCTTGCCTCTATTTCGAATGAGATGTTCAGAAACAGGACTTCGAAATCGACCCTCTGGACCGACATGATGCCCAAGTACGCACCTACCACCCCAAGCGACTTCGCCCAAAAGCAACACTAACGTTTCTAGATTCTTGAGCATAGCCGCAACCCATCCATTCGTTATGCACAGCATCCTCGCCTTCTCTGCCTCGCACTTGGCCTGGATCTCTCAATCAACCGAAACCCGAAACCTCGCATTCCATCACGCAAGTCTTGCTCTCAAGGGCCTGCACGACGGCATCACCAACTTTACTAAGCACAACTCGGATGCTGTACTTGCGGCGTCTCTCCTGCTTGCATGGCAGGCGACAGACTGGTGAGGACTACCCGAATGTATTGGGGTAATCAAAACTGACGCAGTCATTTAGGCGAGGCTGGGCTTCTCTAGTCACAGGCACAAAGACTGTAATCCAATCCATGCAGCCCTGGAGACATGAGTCTCTGTTCGCCGACTACATCGCAGAGCACACACCTATGCCAAACCGACATTTCATGAACCCAATCAGTACCCCGATATCGCCAGAAGCACGAAGAGAGCACATGAACGCCCTGGTCGATATCCACGCCTCCCTCCAACGACTACAGCCCTATCTCACT